ATTCCTGCCTGGACAGTATCTCCTTTCTGAATGCCCTAAAGCTGATAGGAAGGGCAAAATCTGAATGAAGGAGATTTATCATCTGAAACTTTAGAACCTAAAATAACTGAAACCAAAAGTTTCCCACCTTTCTAAACAGAAGGACGCACAGCATGCAAAAGACTGTCGCTATCACTTAGAAAAAAAGCAACAGCCCTGCTTCAGAAAGCACCTACCCTCAAGGGAAGTTTGTGCAACTGGTAATCCCACTTCCTATTGGCTCACTGCACAGGAAACTGAAAGACAGCCTAGCCAAGGTGAATGGACCTTTTAAAGTCTTCAGAATCGTCATGTTGGAGATTTATTTTGAAAGGATTAGGTGCATACGTAGTTAAGTGACTAACACCCTGAATGGTATCTTTACTTTGCTTTTTTGGGATCTCAAATTCTCCTACAATATTTAACGCACTGGTCTGAGACTCCCTTGATAATAACTGGAGACCTTACTGATCAGGATAAAATTTGGGATAAGCATACCTGAATTTTCAAGATGCCAGCCACTTGAGTGGTTGAAGGGGTGATTGTAAACTTCCATTCTGACCTCCAGCGGCCGTTCCTTTAAGAAGGAAATCAGATGTAAATGAAGTAGAGACAACCATTTTGAATAAACTGTTCAATTTTGAGGATTTGTTTTCACCCTACTGATTCAGGAATAAAAAAAAAAAAAAACCTGTACAACTGAAAGACAAAGGAAAACAGAATGAAATACCCAATACCGCCACACATGCGTAGAATCTTTAAAACGATAGTAAACGTTCAGCCCACAACCAGTTAAGAGAAGAGTTTTCTGGAATACTTATCCTTCCTTTTGGATGAGGACCAGGAGATTGATTAGTAAGAAGCTTTTAACAATAGGACTTAATTTCTAACAATAACTAAGGACTCCAATGTTCTTATCCTCCTTTAATTAGGCATATATAGTCAATATTTTGTTTCTAGGACCTGGATGTCTGGCTGAGTCAAAGTCACACTTAAATAAAAAACATCACGCTGAAAAAGACTTATGAAAGAAGCATTAAAATAACAATACTTTCTGGAACAGAAATGCCAGAAGAGCTGAAAGCCCTATTAACAGTTCAGTTTTGCAGAATGACAACTGTTTCCTTCCAATAGAAACAAATTCAATATTCTTGCCAAATTGCTTAAGGGGAGTTTCAAACATCTGGAACACAGTATGGGGAGACTGTAGTTTCACCTGATTTCTTTCTTGAAAACTAGATACTTTTGATTTAGTTAGGTTACTGGGTTAGAAGGTTACACTAGAGCTATATTAAGATGACACTGTGGCTGTGTCTCAATTTCTTCTTTATTTGCACTTAAAGAAAGGAAAATTTTGACATACTATAAGGTCCAATTCTACTAGAATGTTAGGTGTAGGTTCAAGTACAACCAACACAGGAAGAGACAAGGACTTTAACATTACCAGCTACTAACGTATCTGCAGTGACATTTTATATAAATACACACACACACAAATATATATGCTCAGGTTCACTGGGATCCTTCGGTACGAAATGCTCTACGTTAAACAGAACATATCATTTTATGTACCGCTGCTGAATTTTTCTTGGGCATGTAATGTTTTTTTTTTTTCCATCATCCAGCAAACTTGCTTTCCTGGTAGCTTGCCAGCCTTCCAAGTGCCTAGAAAGCTGGGACGCCTTGAGAATACAGGCTGTGAATTGGGCTGGCACAGTGCTGAATAATTAAGGACCCTGGTCAATTTTGAATCCATTCTCCCAACCCCAACATGTGTTTATTAATGCATATCTTGCTAAGGATGAGAATTAGAGTTCTAACTAGCACCCTGTCAAACTTTTAGAAGCATGGGTAATATTTACCCATAGATGCCTGACTGTAACTTTTTTAAAGAATACTTTCAAAAACTTCAGATTTTCATCTATCAAAGTTTGTTGTATATCTGTTCCTCCTCTTTAATATAAGAACTAAAATATTAAAATAGCAATTCGGAATATCAAAATTCACTTGTACTTCTGAACAGCAGCAAAAAAAATATTTTCAAGTTACTTTTAACATTAGATATAAAATGTGAAAGGCTTATCTAGTCAAGTTTAAATCAGAATGAAAAATTAGCTATTTATGAACTGTGCAAATTCAGTTAAAAGCATATGGAGTAGTGAAATGCTCTGCCCATAAACATTTCACTGACGCAGACATGTGGTGGAATAAGTATATGCACCTTCCGCATCAGAAACCAAAGAGTTTTGCACTTCCATTTGTGACCAATGGGATTACTAAAGACAAGTGTAGAAGATCAAGCTGCAGCTTGTAAAAGTTTAAAAACCTGAATTTATTGTATGACTTAGAAAATGGCCTAAGGATTATAATTTATTCAAAAACATGCAAACTAGAACAAGTTGTTTTTAACGTATCATTCACAGTGGAATTTTGCCAACCATAAATCACTGCATTAGGGAACACAGGAACATGTATTGGTGCCAATGTGACAACATGGAAGAGCCATACAGGGAATTTTCTTCACAGTACCTGCAATTGCATTTGGAAGTACATTAGCCCCTGCTCCCACTTGGATATAAGCTTCATAATATGCTAAATGTATGTTCAAGCCATTGGGCTTTGAAAGTCATATTTAGGACGTTTCTCTTTTCTGATTGGACGCCTTTAAAAGATGTTTCATAGGAGGATTAAAAATGAACAAGTAAAACCCCCAAAACAATCCATTCCCTTCTCTTCTTCCTCCACCAAGTGTTTGCTACTGGATAGAAAGAGACTTTTATTTGACACTTTTGCACTTTCTTCAGTATTTTGCTTAAATGATTGACATACTCCTTTCCTTTAGGTTGAAGCTAATGAATCTTCTCTTTTTGAAAGCTCCTGTGGATATTATTTTCAGCAAGAAAAAGGGTTTTGAAAGTTAACAATAGTTATTCCCTGCAACTTGTTCTCTCAGATATGGTATACAAGTGCTTGTGCATGGTATACAAGTACTTCAGGAAAACAGTTGACTTAATTAAAAAAAGGGGGGGGGGCGCGAGGGAAGGGGCCACAAAACTAGCTAGCAAGTGCTCTCCTCATAAGCATTCAGAAGACCTGTTTACTCTGCTTTTTCTTTCCCCTTTCCCAGTTCCTCACTTTCCATTTCCACTCCTTCCATATTGAAGTACTTATATGAAAACACTTTAAACTTACCCAAATTACAGCAGTAGAGAAGTGGGCAAAGAAATCACTTTTGTACCCTAAAAAGGGCCAAAGCCAAAGGGGATTAAGAAGGTAACTAGAAAAAACTATGGATATTGAGAATACCAAGATAAGTTCTGTAGCAGACCTCACATCCGCACTGGTTTTCCAAATTAATCCAGAACACTCTCAAAACTATGCAAGAGTGTTTCCATGACCAGCTTGAAAAATAAGCAGGGCAACCACCTCCAAAATTCTTCTCATTTGTGCTGATTCACTGCTCTGGCCACAAAGACACATTCATTTTACAGATATAGACATCTGCGCATACAACTTGACAAAACAGTACCGCTAAAGATCACAAAATGCACAATTTTTTTCTTGTCATGTTAAATAATAAAGTCAGCATAAAGCTTCAAGAATAATATTGACTGGCTGGAGCAATATTCAGTGAAGAGCTGTAAGAAAGATTCATTGGAAAATAAAGTTGGAAAATTCTGTAGAAGCGTCCCTAAGTTCTGCAGAACAGAATTTGTGCAATCTGTTGTTTTGCTTCCTACAAAGAAAAAGCTTTCTACACAGTTTTGGAGGAAGAGACCGAAAAAATCACATGCAAGATGTGTAGCACTTCCTCCTCTGCACTAAGAAATGAGTGTAATGGCAATAGTCTCATTACTCAGTTTGCTGTATTTGCATCATCACAGAAACTTACCAAAAATTTTTTGCTTGGAACTGATGGCTCTCTATGCATGCGATAATGGTCTGCTGTCCATCAATTGTTTTACCATATACCTTAGTTAGAAATGAAAAAACAGAGCAGGGTATGAGTTTCAGTATGTCTTGCTCAAGCTGCTTAGAGATATCTAGTCCTATTATAGTTGTAATATGTAATAAATGGAAATTTAATTTTACAACCACTATGACTCTTACATAACAATCAGTATATTAAACAGGAAAGTATGCACTGCAAAGCAGAAAAATTTAAGATTTGAAAATCTCAACCACCACAGTCTTGGTCAAATTATATTAATAATCTGAAATTGTTTGCACTGTGAACTCTCAACTGAATGTGTGAATCTGTTTTCCTTCACAGAAGCTCTGACACACATCTGACCGCACAGGACTTCAACTCTGCTTGTTAACTCAGCAGATAAATATTCACTTCTTCACTAGTTTAGCTTTCTGTCAGGTTAATGAAAAGAACAGGACAGCTATTATTAGATCAGTTCGCTGAACTTTAAGTAGTCACAGGGCTCCTAAAAGCACATTAGGTGCTACTTTGGTCCACAGTCAGAGATTTTATTTTAAGCCGCCATCAGAACCCACTGATGCTGGTTGTAAGAATAAAATGCTTTTCCCTCTACTACATTTTCTATTTATCAAAAAGTTTGCATTACGGACTGTTTGTGGCTAAAGCAAACCAAGATAGGCATTTGTATCTTCAGGATTACTAAAGAAATCAGACAGGGGGTCAGAACTGATGCGATCAATCTTCAGTAGTCTATACAAGGTCTTAATGCTTTAAGACATTTACCTCTCTCAACTCTGTAGAATTTTTAAGTCTTCAATGTGACTGGATTAAAACATAATAACCTGTAGAAACCACCTACGGGTGATTGCTAAAATATTAAACTTCTAAAGCTTTCTCTCATTTCCTTGTATGAACTCTGGAGTGGACCAGTTCTTTAGAGCTGAAATGAACTGTATCTTCCTAATTTACAACAAGTTATAAATTTAAAATAGAATTTTATCTGTAGAAACTACATCCGTACAAAATTCTTGTCGCAAAATTGCTTACATTTTATGACTCAATGATACAATGACAATGATTCTCTGCTATCCACATGAGAAAATTTAAAATCAAGTGAAATTATATAATATTTTCATCTGCTTGCTACTAGGAATTAACTTGTAGGTGTTCATGAGAGTCAAAGAAAGAATAGACAAATTAGATTTTAAACTGACAAGTTCCTCAAGTCAAGAACCTAGTCTTCACCAATGGCATTTAAAATACCCTCAGCAGCAATACTGGCTTTGCTCTTAAAAACAAATCTGATCAGAAAAGTACATCAACAAGCTAAGTAACTTTGCTATTATAAAGGTGACAAAGATTTGAAAATACTCCAGTCTCGCAGTATGCTTGGAAAGAACATAACTGCTCTGGTAGCCACTGAAGAGCAAATTTTAACTTCCCTTGAAAGAACAGAAAAGCACAATAACGGGTGACAATACTAGTGAGAGTCATATTTGGGAATACATTTCTCTTCTAGTCTACACTATGCCAATAATACAGTGGTTATATATTTTAGTACTTACTGTGCAGACACCATTTGGATAGTGTTCTTTAACATATGCTTTCATTGCTGTCTCAACTGAATTTCTCCAGGACTCTATGGCATTTTCAACTTCATGGGGCCTAGGATCAGTAGCCTCCTTTCTTAAGTGATCAAATTTAAAGGAAATCTTGTTCTTGGGATCCAAAAATTTTCCATTTCCTAAATCACCATGTTCCGTTATCAAAACCTGTATTACGAAATTTTAGTTAACAATACTTAGCATCGAATAGCGAAGAAAAAAATACCCTGCCAAATATAATTATATTGTACATTCAACTGAAATTACTCATATCCAAAGACTGACATTTTAAACAAAGTCTGCACATAGAAAGATAGGAGGAGGCTGACATGTCACAGAAAAATCCTGAATCCTACCCTCTTGCTGTGAAAAAAATTAGATATAAATTCATGTCTTTCAGTATTAAAAATAGAGCAAACGGCATCTACAGTTCTGTATCAGGTCCAATCGATTTCAGGATGACACTGTAGAACGAAATTTAAAGCTACTTAGGTGCTCTTAATCATTAACTTAGAGAATTGGTACAACTGGAGGGCCATAATCTCTACCCTTCAGCAGCAAAGATTAGTCCCTTCTTATTTTCTGCCAAGATATATGTTCCAATATCAGAACATCTTTAATAACTTAAGGAACATTACAAGTATTTCATTGTATTCATACCTGTTCATCGTAACCGTCAATTTTTACTGGAGTAAACTGGTCCAGGTTGTACTGTGCAAATGCACTACAAGAGAAAAAAAATACAACCAAAAACATGCATCAGGTACCATCTTTTCCCTTAATTGCTCCGAGACCTAGGCAGCGACGTGTCAAAAGACAATATTAACGCTTCACTGTCCAGTAGGCCCCCTAATCCTGGAACCTTGGTTCATTCAGTACTCATATTACAGATTTCAACCACTACGCCAAGACTCATGTTCAAAAGTAACCTAATATAAATAGACGCCTAAGCTTTACAGTAACCCACAGAAAGCGGAGGAATAGATAAAAATCTAAATTCTACAGGGATCTAACTTATTAAGCTAGACATCTCCATTCTTACAGATAAAATTAATTTTGGTACAAAATACAGTAGGCTTAGTGTTTTGATGTAAAAAGTAGGGTCTAAGGAAGCAGCACCTTTATAGATACTAATGGCCAGGGCCTATAAAATCTACCAAGGAACAGAAAACCAAATCCAAAAAGGTGGAAAATAGTTCCAAAATCCAAGTCTCCCATTTCCAAGGCAGTTGCCCTAACCATCAGGTTACCATAACAATATCTCCCCTTTGCCATGAATTTAATCTTGATCAAAAGACCGACAATGCACGTAATAGGATTTTACTTGCCAATCAAACATCTTTTTAAGCAAATCACTTCGCAAATCACAAAGGCAGTGAAAGTCCTAGTAAAAGACATCTTTCTTTTATGCAACTGAGTACTTACTGGGCTGCTCCTTCCCTGAGAAGATTGTCATTATTAAGCAGCAATCGAACATCTGGAAGGAAGTATTTACAACATAAAAGTAGGGTTAGCTCAGAAAAATAATTCAGTCACATCAACAAATAAACACCACGCCTAATCCCCCCGACCACTCCACACCTGTACATATTTACTAGGTAGGAAACCTATTGTTTCATACTTCATAATTATGACTTAATGAGATGAGAAGAATAGTACAAAAATGGATCCTTTACAATGCAATCCGGTAAGCAGATATAAGCCATACCCTACAGGTTTTGTGACAGCTCTAAGAATCTATCAAACCAGTTTTTAGAAAAGTTTTAAGCAAAAAGAACACAGAATGCAAATAAGATCACTCTTAAGATGTAAACTACTCAAAAAGCACATGATATTGACTGTAACGGTTGCTGTATTTTGACAACTCTAGTACTGTAGTATGTTTTGCACTTAATTTTCTTATTTTACTATTTTTTTTCTTTTTTCCTTATGACACTTACTAGTCAGAGCACAATACAAGAAATATGCCAATTTAGAATAAAGTCAACCCTCTCCTCAGAATGACTTCATATTTACTAGGCAGTAAATTATTATTTACATACTTACTATTTACTAGGCACTATTACAGCCACCTTACAATCTAATGCAACTACACACAAGAAATAAAATACAGCAGCGGGGGGGTGAGAATCCTATTCACCTACAAACCTGAATTTAAAATGCTCAACTTTCAAAGACCAGAGTTAAAGTCCAGCTTTGACATTTCTAACTCTTCCGAAGATTTCCAAAAAATCATAGTAGCTATATACGTACTTAGCTATACATGTGGGATGGATTTGAAGTATTTTTCTAAATTCAAAAAAACTCACACACTTAAAGAGTAAAATTAAAGCTTTTTCTCTCTCTCCTTTTTTTTTTTTTTTAAAGAAGTTGATTTGAATCTGAATTAAGTGCTTTTAACATTTAAAACACTCCAACAAGTAGGTTTCAGTTGGACATTTATGATCAAATGTTTTGTTAGCTGCCCTATAACACATTACTTCTTGATGTATGAGTGAGCTTAAGGACCTAATTTTAACAGTACTGCTATAAGAAATGGTATTAGCTTTCATAGGGCTAGGTTAATGAGGTGCTCAGCAATGGTTCATTTCACAAATGCATTACAAGCTAATCTTAAATAAAAATCAGCTGGTCACAGTTTAATCGAAGAAGAAGTACTTGTAAACATATTAGATTAAAAAAAAAAAAAAACCAAGCTCTCTCCAGCCTCCCACTCACTACAATGAGTATTCTAAACTCGTTTCCTCAAGAGATCAGTAGAATCAGAGCTATTTGTAGTCTAGAGCTACAGAACATATGCCCTCTTACCCTCATCCAGACGAGGACACCAAACTTTAAAGAAAAAGCAGCTCTTAAATAAAGTTTAGAAAAAAGTACTGAGACAAGTTAATTTCTAGTTTCATTACAACTTATCTATATACTAGTACAATGTAGTGCGGTCACAATCTTACCTAGAATATCAGAATCTAACAGTTAAAAATGTTTAGAGAGAATTAACATTTAAATAAAGTGTTCAGTGCCACTTTAAGCAATACTCCTATGTCTATTCAAGGTTAAGTATTTGTAATCATATTCCCTTTCTAAAAAATAAATTTTATTTTCAGTTAATTTTCGCTGAAAAATATAATTCTATCAAAGGCTGAAAAAAAGAGACTGTGTCTTCTAAATCAAAACCCTAATAACTGCTAATTCATGAGTGATTAAAAACAGAAAAAAGCTCATCCCACATTACTAATAAAGCAGTACTTTCCTGCTTTTGCAGTCACAAGGCAGCTTGGAATTTAAATGCAAAGCTCATTATGCCAAGCTACAAAACCAGAATTGCATAGCTCTTACAGCCAATGAGTTCCTAAAAATAAACTCCACAAAACGCAGGAAAGTAAGAAAGTAACATTTTCAATGCAATTTTGGGTATAGATATCTTAAATATACGGGCAGAACAACAGATACTCACCATTGAATACCTCATTGAATTCCCCAGGAGGAGCATGAATTATGAATTTTGCTGCTATACGCACCTTAAATATAAAAATAATAATGGAGTTGTATATACTTTGCATTTATTCCTATTCAAACCAATCATGCTTTATATAACTTCAATGTCCAGATAAGGCATCGTGCAAATCCCATTTTTCATGTAGTTGCTCAAATTATTTAACTACTCTGTCTTCGTTAGAAACACAGAACATGAAGTTCCACCTCTTCGAGTAAGACAGAGGAGGTTGTATGTGATGGAAGTGAAAACAGAAACTGAGTCATTCTTATGTTTTATATTATTGGCAAAGAGAAAAAGATTAATATTGAGAAATAGGACCGCTAATATGTTCACAATGCATTTCAACTTTCAGCCCATAGATGCCTGGGAATCCACAAACTGATTCTAAGAGAGCTAAAAACTATGACTAAGAAATGCTGAAAATTCAGAGCTGCTCCTGTGATTTTACAACACATCTTATGGTTCTAAATTTTCTAAGAGGTCCACAGTTGCACAGTAATCCATAGATTAAAGAAGGTTAAAAATACTTGTTAAAAATACACTAAGGCGTGGAACTTCACCAGCATCTACTAAGGCTTCCCAATAGCACAGTATCAGCAGGTAAACATTTCACAGTATCTGAAAACCCAAGAGTTAATTTATTTTATGCAAATCCTCAAGCAATCGCCTTCAGCTGTAACTTTACGAACATATGACACAGCATAAGCCAGCACTGCCATTAAAAGTAGCTGCACCTGCCCTGGCTTTCCCCTTCCTTATGCCTGCACAAGTACACAGCTGCACAGTGAGCCAAATTAGAAAGGTTATTTTTCTCTTATCAGATCAGTTCCCCAAACTGGTTCACTGCACAGCCACATTTGCCTGCAGAAGGAACTCAAAGCCACTTTTTTGATGCAAAGCAACATTAAAACATTTCAACTATTACCTTACTTGTGGAATGTCACTCAGCAGAGTTACTTTCATTTATTCTTCTTTCCCTCTTAACAGTTTAAGAGCTCCAAGCATGAAAAAAGACACTGGTTTCTTAACTTTAACTCAAACTGACAGAAGTTTCTCTTCACACTTTACAGCTACCTAAGTTGAGGAGAAGGCTCTCTAGCATCCTTGATATTATGTAGCTATTCAAACACAGGGAAATACAGTTCTGGTAATACTGTATTTCTAACACCTTCAGTTGTGTTTCCACAGAATAGAGAGCTGGAAGGTTCAGTTTGCGCACTGAAAGGCCCAAGTTTCAGGCAACCGTCTCCAGGAAAGAAGACTCAAGCTTAGACTGTCCCTAGAGAAGCTTATCTGCCCTATTAGCAGAATTCAAACCTCAGTGAGATCCCAGATGACTAGCCAAGGAGTTTCCTGCTCACTAGAAGTCAGCATAAAGCCACTCAGAGCTACCCAATGGAAACAGAAGGGCTGCCAAGTTCCATCTTTCTTTCTAGGCTAAAGGCTACATTTTGGATTGCAGAGAGGCTTTATCTGCTACTCGAATACCTAAACCAGAGCTCCTCTTTGCATGTAAACACAAAATTGCATTATACAGAGATAAATACCATAAGGCTTACTCTTTTCTTCAAATGGAGACAGAGAAGGTAAGAGTATCTTCTCTTTTACGGCAACCTACTGAGGCGCTTGCCCAGCTAAGCAGGAGGCATGATCTGAACTGGTTCAAAGACCTTTAAACTCATCTGTGTTAGCCAGAGAATTACTCTAACCACCAGTCTACGTACTTTTCCCAAGTGGGGACATATTCTAT